TTCCACAGGGGTGCGCTGGGCTAAGTGAGCTGGGGGAGCAGCCTAAGACTCGGACCCCTCTGGCCGGCACCCTCAACTACACACGCTTTTCTACTGTTAATAAACACCTCTTGTAGACCCCCTCCGCAAGCTGGCTCGTATCTGTGGAGGGAGCGTGGCGGGGGCGCACTGGGTCTCTCAGCAGGTATTTGCTACTGACTTGCAGCACAGAAGACAGCAAAGCAGTTTTGGGACAGCTCTTTGGCAGTAGGCACGTTCAGTCTGGCAGGACTGCACCAGTTAGATGAACTGTTGGCATCTGAATCGATTGGAGATGAATCAAGCTTCATTGAAAGGAGTTGCTGGGTGGGTAGGTGGGGGGGAGGGACGGTAAGGGACTGTAATTTCTCTATAGCAAAGCATAGAGAGCTCTTTTCCAGCCTGTGTCCAGTTGTGAGGTTGGAAACCCACAAGTGTGTAACCCCCTCCTTCTGAAAGGCAAGAAGCCAAGCTGTTCCTTTGCCTCAGGCCAGAGGGGGTTGGCACTGGAGTGCATGTGCCTTAAGGTCTGTCCTGCACTGTCCAGGCCTCTGGAGGGAAGATGTCCATGGGTTCCCCATCGTTGTGTGTGCGGTGTGTTGCTACCCTTCGGTAAAACAAAGCAGCTTCGTGAATCCAGGCTCGGAGCCTGTAACTCCATACCGAAACCACCCTACCAAAGGAGGGGAGGTCCTTGATGGGAGCCAGCAGCCTGCGCTCCAGAGGCTTCAGCAGTGTAAGCTGGCTCCCATGTCGTTTTAAACACAGCTGCATGGTTCAGGGCCCCGGCGCGTGCCAGCACCCTGGGCTGCGTTGAAGGGAGGCGCCTGCTCGCTCAGTCCATTCACGCCTGTGTTTTCAGCCTAGAACATGCCGCTGTGTCTGTTTGCTGTGTAGCTGGATCACATCGTCGTCATCGAGCACAAGAACTTTCTGCAAGTGAACAGCTGGTAGCATCCAATTTACTATAGTTTGTACAGGCTTTACTTTTACTGTGTCTAGAAGCTGACTATTTTTGGAAACATAAAGCTTGTCTATTGGCCTACTCTGATTTCGGGGTCGCAGTCACGGTGCCACCTGCCCACCGGCAATCGCTGACACATCCGGCAGCCGACGGGGCCTGAATTGTTAGGTGCTGCTGTGGATTGGCTCTTTGAGGGTCCTTTATGCATGAGGATTATGTAAAGGTTTTTATTAAAAGTATAAATAAATGATCTAGATTATTTTCCTGTCTTTCTGAAAATACTTTCTTAAAAATAAATAAATAAAAAGTTTATAGTATTGCTAAGGTTTTCTTTGCTTCTTAACCGTGGATCCTCTCGGCAGCCAGAGGTCTCAGAGGGGCTCCCGCAGTTAGACACGCGGCTGTCTCGTACTCCTGAGGGGTGTGGGGCTCCGAGCTCTGACCTGCCTACGGTCTCCTGCAAAGCCCAGGAGGAGTCTGCCATTTGGGGGAGGTTGGTTTAACCGGCGGGCAGGGAGCGTGGGGCTGCCCCGCAGCAGAGAGCACTGCTGTATCTGCCTGTGACAACCCCGAGCACGGAGGTGACAAATGCCGACACAGCCACAATCAGCGCTAATTAGATCCCCAGAGCCAGGCACATGTAGTTGACTGTCCTGCTTTGGGGGAGGGTTCCCACGGTCTGGCCAGGAGCAGCCAGAACCACATCTTTCATCCATGAATTGGGCAGCCAATGTGGAGGGATGCTGAGGGAAACCTGCACAAATCCCACAGATCCCTGCTGCTCCTGGGAGCATGAAGACGGCAATGCTTGCTTCCTCAGTGGCAGGGAAGCGTCCGCCCTCTCCATGTAAACAGCACAGGGAGATGGGCAGCTCCTGGAATCCCACCCTTGCCTTTTCCGTTCGGCAGGCCCTGGCTCTTGTGGTGCCTAGAAATGCTTCAGAAGCTGGCCTGGGTGTCACCTGTGCTGTGACCTCTGCCCGAGTCTGCAGAGAGCCCGAAACCCCGCGGAGAAGCAGGAGCTGCCCCGTGCAGCTCAGCAACACCTGCTGCTCATGGGGCTCCTCACCCACCTTCCCAGTGAGCTCTGGTCAGAAGAGGCAACGTGGTTCAAGCAGCATCTCTGCTCCAAGGTAAGTCCTGCGTGGAGGAGTCTGGCTGCGCTGCCGGCCTCTGCCTGGGGGAGGGAGGTTGCAGGGTGCAGTCACTGCCAAAGGCATCTTACTGTGGCTGTGGCACAGCGAGGGTCATGGGAGAGGTCGGATGCTGAGCTGTTTCCATCACCAGTACTGCCATAAGCAATGCACCACCCACACCCGTCTCCCTTCCGGCTGCGTGGGAGCGCTGGTACTGCCACCTCCCCTGCGCTTGTCTGCAACAAACATGAGCGGAGGGAGGGAGGGAGGAAGCCAGCGCCCGTAGCTGGAACAGGCCCCAGTTCAGTAGCAGGTGTTCTGTAAATGGAGACCCCGTCCTTGCTGATTGGGGCTGGGGTCAGTGGCTTCTTTTTAATTAATACCCTGGATAATGTGACGGGGAATTCAATGCTCTTGCCCTCTCTTTGCCTTTGTACAGAGCGAACGGGGAAATATTGCTTACCTGGACAACCTCGGAGTGAACTCCTGGCGGCGGCACTAACGGTGGGATCTTCTGCATTGAAGCCAGCGATCGAAGCTGTTTTCCCCAGTGAAGTTCACACGCACCCTTCCAGTAGCAACACACGCTTTAATTTTTCTGATGTTCTTGATTAGCTGGATTCATGTCCTCAGTGGGCCCCACCCCAGCTGTTTCCTCAGTTCCCTTATGGGGTGAGGGCTTCTCTGGAGCTGCTGCTCTTGCTTTCCCTGTTGTGCTATTTCTCCTCTCAATGGATGTTGCAAAGTTTTATAGCAACCTAAAGCCCATAGCACTTACCCCTTGAGCCATGTGCAGTGTCCATTGCCCAGCCCCTCACCCCCCCAGAGTACAGCAGAAAGGAGAGGATCGCGAGGGAAGAGACACCCCTGGAGAAAAGTAGCAGCAAAGAGACCTGGACAAATTGGAGGATTGGACCCAAATGAATCTCATGAGGTTCAATAAGGAGAAGTGCAAAGTTCTGCACTGAGGACGGAGCAATCCCATGCACCGGTGCAGGCTGGGGGTGACAGGCTGAGCAAAAGCTCTGCAGAAAGGACCTAGGGGTGATGGGACAAGAAGCTGAACAGGAGCCAGCAATGTGCCCTTGGTGCCAAGAAGGCTACCAGCATCCTGGGCTGCGTTGGTAAGAGCGGTGCCAGCAGATCAAGGGACTTGATTCTTCCCCTCTGTTCAGCACTGGCGAAGCCACATCTGGAGTCCTGTGTCCAGTTGTGGGCCCCCATTACAGAAAAGATGTGGACACAGTGGTAAGAGTCCAGTGGAGGGCAATTGCAGTGGTTGGGGGGGCCTGGGGGACAGGACTGGTGAGGAGAGGAGGAGGGAAATGGGCTGATTTAATCTGCAGAAGAGAAGATTGAGGGGGGATTTGATGGCAGCCTTCAACTCCCTGCAGGGGGTTGCAAAGAGGATGGAGCTGGACTGTTCTCAGTGGGGGCAGATGGCAGGATAAGGAGCAATGGGCTCAAGTTGCAGCAAGGGAAGTTGAGGTTGCATATTATATTCTCAAGAGGAGGGTGGTGAAGCGCTGGCACAGGTTACCCAGAGAGGTGGTGGAGTCTCCATCTTCAGAGGCTTTTAAGACCCAGGTAGGCAAAGCCTTGGCTGGGATGATGCAGTTGTGGCTGGTCCTGCTTGGAGCAGGGGGGTGGACTAGTTGTGAGCTCCCAAGGTCCCTTCAACCTTCATTTCTATGACTCTATGAAGGTGTTTTATAGGGGAGGCTGGTAGAAAGGTGGTGTGATGGTGTAGGAAATAGCAAATGGGAAGCAGGTGCCTCTAAATACCCATTTAATAATAACCCTGGGGGAAGGCACCGCATCCCAAAATGTAAGGGATGTACCAGGGAACTCGCTGACCCAAGATGCAGAAGCAGAGGGGTAGCAGGATCCCGGTGGTGGTCACATTTCTGGCATTACGCTCGCCCACGTTGCGTGTTAAGGGGAGCACATCACTCTTGCAACACGACATTACAAACTGCCTAGCATTGGTGAAGAGTTTCCCCTGCCTGTGAGTTGTGTACTTGTCGGTGCGGGGGCTTGTACGCCCACGCTGGACCATGTGATCCTCAGGCCCTTGCCACACATTACTCTGTTACACCATTGACTGTTGAATGGCTCGATTAAATGTAGACCGAAGACAGGGGTCAAGCAATGCTCATGCCATAGAAGTGGCTATGCAGCTATCAAAATGTCCCTCCAGCTATCTATCAAAAGAGCCAATCTGTGACAAAGTTAGTGCTTGAAAATGTGTAGCTGTTTTATAGCTAGTTTCTAGCCAGCTTTCATGTGAATGAGTAGCAAGGCCCTGTGGTCATTACCAGGCTACTGATTAGCCCCGTGCTTGCTAGCTAGAGCCCCTAGGTTAGCCCCGTGTACCTGGAAGCAACTCAGGTTATTTAAAAACAGGTATGCAGAGGTGCCCTGGAAATGTTACGGTCTCTTTAACCCTCACCTCGCGCCTTCTACCGTCTGGCTCCTCCAAAGGGTCACAAGCTCTGTGATCCCAAGGTCATTGATTAATGGAGAGACCCAGCAGTGCGCACGGCTTAGCCAGGCCATGGGAATGGCCCCTTTTCTCCCAAAGGAGCATCTCTCTGGCCAAACGGGTCTTGCTTGTCTTTTGCATGGCATCTGCCCCGGACGATGCCTGCTTAGAGGGGAGGGTCCTTCTCAGCCTCCCCGTGGCAAGGAGAAGCCGTGCCGCAGCGCCTGCCGCCGGCTCTTTTCCTGCAGGGGAGGGTTGTGTTTATATAACCCGTGGTTAAATGTGTCACCTGTACCAACTCTACGGCTGGTGAAGTTAGATCAGGCAGTGACTTATCCTCTCTCTCTCCCCATTACTTTAATTAGCTTCATGCAAATCCACCTGCTGCTCCGGAGGAGTTGTGCAACGTCGCCGCCCGGACTTCAGGCTTCGGGGATGAATAATTCACCATCCTGTAAGTAAAACCGCATCCAGCCTGGGATTAGCATATGAATGGGCTCGGGGAGCAGTCCTTCGGGGCCAGCCCATCTCCAGCCACCTCCTAGAGTCCCTGCATCCTGGCTGGGCGCTGCCTGGGGCTGTCCTGCTGCAACCAGGGCCGTGGGGACAGTGGCTTTTAAATGATGCTTCCCTTGGTCTCTTCCCACTTTGGGTTCCCCCACCTGGGGCAGCGAAGGCAAGGGAGTGCGCTCTGTTCCCCCTTGTCCTTCAGGCCCCCAAACCTTTTGCTCGCACTCGCTAGGCATGGGGCTGCTGGACCATGGACCAGCATCTTGGCGCTGAGGCTTTGCCATGCCTCATTGGAAAGAGGGTGGTCTTGCTACTGAGCATTCGGCTCCTGGCTTCATCTCTCAGGCCTGGTGGTTTTTCTGCCCCTCCAGTTGTCCCCTGCCCCGAGCAGCCTCCGATGCGTCTCTTGCTGGGCAGGCCCAGAGCCTGGGAGATATGGGGGTCTCCCAGCTCAGGTCCATCCACAGCAGCAGGCTCAGGGGAAGGGGGCTTCCCAAGGCTGCGTCCCTCGGGAGAGCCAGCACTTTATTCCACAAAGGAGGGTTGCAAAGCTGAGACTCCAGGCAGCTCCCGGGGATCATTTGCACTGGGATGGCAGAGAGAGGGAGTGATGCCGCCGCCTCCTCCTCCTCTTTCTTTCTTCATTGTGCCATTGCCATCAGTGCCATGTGCTGCCTGGCCAGATCTGCGCCCCACAACCTGGCTGTACCCCTGAGAAGAGAGACTTGCTTGCTTGGGGGGGTTGGTCCTAAATCAGGCTCCCCAGTGAGGGGCTGGGGGTCCATCCTTGGAAATCTCTAGGTGAGCTGGGCTGAGTCTGCCCCGAGATGGGGTCTGGACGCACTGGGATGTCCTGAGGGCGCTGCCGTCCCACGGAGCCCCTGCTGTGCTGCGTGGGAGGGGCTGGGGGACACGACCAAGGCCATGCAGGGAGTCTTTGGCAGAGTCAAAGCCCCATTTAGTGCCTTCTCTGCAGTTCTGGGTTTCCCCTTGCACTGGGGCACATCCCAAGCACGAGTGAGAGCCAACCTTGAGAGATGGGGTTGTTTTCTGTGAGTCCTGGGATCGTCTGACTGTGCGTGGTGTGGTGTCACCCATGGCCGGAGGTGCCAGGTGGGGGCGTGTCGCTGGGGGGGGGGGGGGGGGCCTTCCTCTGCCCGCTGGGGGGGGGGAGTGGTGCCTTCCTCTGCCCCAGTTGCAGCCTCACGCTCACACTCCTGGCAGTGTGGCAGCTCCTCCGTGCTGTGTCTGTCCCCTGGGGGACCCTCCCTTCCTCCCTCCCTTTCCCCTGTTCTTCCAGGCTCAGTTTTCACCCGCCTGCCTCTCCCCTGCTCTCTCCAGACGGCTGCAAGCTTCCCTCTGCCCGGAGGCGACGGAGCTCTCTTTCATAGAGGAAGACTCTGCTCCATGGAGAAGGAAATCCCCGGGTGATTCTGCGCCCAGAGCGACCCTAGAGGAGCCGACCCATGCCCTGCCTCCGCCTTCCCGCTCACAGGTGCTACCAGGCTGGCCGTGCCCTCGCTCCAGCATCATCAAGGCTGCCGGCAGCACAGATGCACCCCTGACCTGCGTTGGAGCTCCCTGTCGGACTGCAAACTTCCCCCCACGCCGGCCGGGCGTCCGTCGTGGGGGCATGAGCATGAAGCCCAGGGCAGGCCTCGGCTCCCTCCTGCTCTCCCTGTGCTTCTCAGGACTCCCCCTGCTACCAGGTAAGACGCCGTCGATGCCTCCGCACCCCTCGTTGAGCAAGGTCCCGGGACCTGAGCAGCCAGCACTTACCGAGCTCCTCAGGGCATGCCGCCCCTGCCCCTTTGTGGGGTTACAGCTGACCCCCAGCCAGTGGAGCTGCACCCCGTGCAGCCTGCAATTCAATCAGGCGTGCAGGGGTCTAGGGGGTCCCCTGGAAACATGGCCGGCTTGGCCCCATGCTGTAAACGAGCCCGTCTCATGCCCACCCCTGAAACACAACACCTGGCATTAAACTTTCAAGCGCAGGATGGGGCGCTGCTCTCTCAGCCGCCTCCCTCCGTCCCTCCCGCGGCCCCCACGGGCAGGGGGGTGCGGTGTTGGGTTGGGCAGAGCTCAAGCTGGGTCCTGCATTTCAGAGCTGAGCTGGCCTGCCACCTCCTGCCTGGTTCTGGGACCCAAATCTCAAGCACCCAAGCGGCACCCGTGGGAGTCAGAAGTCAGGATGGGGGTCCTGTCTCCCTGGCCTGTGCTGGGGGGGAGCTCCCTCCTTTCCAGACCCACCTTGCTGATGCTCCTGCTGGCATCTGACTCCATGCATGGAGGGTCTGGGTCCCACGCTGGCCTGCAGAGACCATGGGACAGGCAGCGGGGCAGGGATCCGCAGCACAGATCAGCTGGGTCCAGGGGAGAGGCTTTCCTGTCATCCCTGTCCAGTGCTACCAGCCTCCTGGAAATGACTGCAGTTGCTGTAGCCTCAGCAGAGCCCCAGAGGGTCCTGGCTAGGGGGTCTTGTCCCTCCACTCGGGGTCAGACTGATGCTGCATTTGGGATTCAGAAGGGATTTGCACCCTGGTCAGATTGGTATGCACTGGGGGGGGGCAGTGGAGAGCCATGAGCCCGAGGCTATGTCTGCAGTTGGTGACAGAGCCAACTGTCTCTGCTCTCCTGAGTCTCTGCTGAGCGTTTCAGCTTCAAACCTGCCTTTCCCCTTGGCACAAGTATTGGGAGCAGAGAGAAAGAAGCCTCCTGCCCCGGGCGCTTCCCCGGCTTCAGTTGGGATGTGCAGGGAGACATTGCAGCAGCCTTGAAATGCTTTGTGACCCTTCTTGTGGTGCCAGCCCCAGCACCTGCCCAAGGCATCTCCCTCCAAGTGGTCCCCAGGCTCGGGGCTCCTAAACCTCTCCGGCCACTTGCATGCAGTGCAGCCTGTCCGGCCACCCTTGACCATGAGCTGTCAGCATCTCCCCCAGAGCAGCGGGGCTGGCAGGGAGCTGCAGAGGTCACATCTAGTCCAACCCCTGCCTGAGTCTGGATCAGCCCCGTCCAAACCAGCCTAGACAAACCATCATCTAAACACTACACAAGATTATCCTCAACTCTGACGCAGCACCAGACGTCACACTTGAACCTGCCCCAGGGAAAGCAGAGGGACCGCGGCCGCCAACGTCCTGCTCCTATAAAAGGTTGTTCATAGACGCTCAAGAGATCCCAAGCAGAGACCGTGCCCCCACTACAGAGGAAGGCAAACCCTCCTCAGTCCATACCAATCTGACCGGGGTGGGGAAAAAAGCCCTTCCTGACCCCAAATGTGGCATCTAGCAGAGGGGCAAGACCCTCTTGCGAGTCTCAGGGTCTTCCTTAGCTGCTGCGCGTGGAGTCTGTCGGTGCCGGGGTTAGCTGGTTGCAGCTGGGGGCTGTGCCTTCTCCCTCCTCTTCCTCTCCCCTTTCCCTCCTGACTCAGGCTGCCTGGGCGCCCAGGGGAGACTGGCCTACAAGCTGCTCAACGACCTGTTTGCCAACTACTCCAGCGCCCTGCGGCCCGTGGAGGACACGGACCGGGCTCTGAACGTCACCCTGCAGATCACGCTCTCCCAGATCATCGACATGGTGAGTCGGGGTCCCGCCGAGCCCGTCTCCCCAGCAAAGCAACCTTCCGGCTGCCGGGGATCGCTCCAGCTGCCCTGTTGCACCTGCCAGCACGTAGGAAACCGCGGGTCCTGGCTGGAGGGGTTTTCTCTTCCAATTGAGGATGGAGGGTTGTAGAAATTTGGGTTGGGTCACCATGCTTTTGGGGCGACAGCTGCCTCGGGACGTGGGGACTGGACCCACCAGCCCACCGGCTGTTGCTGCTGTCCGGCAGATGAGCAGCCCCCCGAACTTTGCTGGGACGAGCTACATGGTGCAAGTTAATGAGTACCAAGGGGCCAGGTCAGGGCTGAGTCTCTCTTGATGGGCAATTCATGGTGGCGAAAGGGTGAGGCACTCCATGCTACCCTGACGTTGCACAGTGGTCCATGCATCTGCCTGCTCCCTCCTCGTGTCTCTCCCCCCCCCCCCGGCTACAGGATGAGAGGAACCAGATCCTGACGTCTTACCTGTGGATCCGGCAGGTGTGGGTGGACGCCTACCTGACCTGGAGCAAGGACGATTACGATGGGATCGACATCCTCCACATCCCCAGCAGCTACGTGTGGCGCCCCGACATCGTCCTCTACAATAAGTGGGTTTATCGTCCTTTCGTAAGTGGGTGTATGGGGGGCTGGGAGGCGGCGTTCCCTCCCTGCCCTGCTTCTGCACGCGGCCCTGCCGGCGGGGCTCTGGGGATGGAGAGGGCCTGGTGTTCGGCCCCGATCCTGTCGGCAGGAGTTGGCTTCCACGGGCTCATAATAGTTGCAAAGAAGCGGGGCTGGAAGGGACTTCTATAGGCCATTTAGTCCCATCCTCTGCCTGAGACAGGATCAGCCCTGTCCAAAGCACCCCAGGCAAATCCGTTGTGCAACCTCTGAGCAAAACGACAGCGAGCCCATCCTGCTGGGGGGAGTTTAAGCCTCCCCCGGACGCAGGGTCTTGGCAGCAGCCCGGGCTGGGGATGGGGACTGGGCTGTGCCAATGCTCCTGCTGGGACCAAACCCGGAGGGTCCTGGCTATGGGGTCTTGCCCCTGCACTCGGGGTCAGACCGATGCTGCATTTGGGGTCCACCCCTGGTCAGTTTGGTAGGGACAGGGCGCTGTTTGCCTTCCTCTGTAGCAGGGGCATGGCCTCTGCCTGGGGTCTCTGGAGCTATTGAATACATTGCAATGAAGCAGGACGTCGGCTGCCATTTCCCCCCCCGCTTTCCCAGGTTCAGGTGTGATGTGTTGCGTCAGGGTTGACGGTAGTTATGCTCAGAAGTTGGATGGTGGGTTTGTCTGGGTTGGTTGGGACAGAGCTGATCCTGCCTCAGGCATGGTTTTGAGAGGGCTACAGAAGCTGGCTCCTGAGCCGGACGTTCACGCTGGCCCCGATCCTGGCGGGTAAAGGAGCTCTGCAGCGTGAGGGAGATGCACCAAACTTAAATTGCTCGTGTATTTCGGCGCGCTGTGTGTTTGCGTGTTGCCGCGAGGCATGGGAGCGGCTCGTGGTGACCCCAGTTAGCCCCTAGGAAATTTGCTCAGAGCTTATTTAGTGGCTTTGAGCAAGAGACTTCAAGCCCTAGCGAAAGACTATTTAATGGGGCCTGGGTTTCAGCTGTGACTGGGCAGGGCCCTGGTTAACTGGGGTGAAGACGGGGTCGGCTGTGGTTACCTGCAGCCGTGGGCCCACGAGCTGGGCTTGGACCTGGGGAGGGAGGCCAGAGCGGCTCCCACTCATCCCCGTGACCCCTTCCTTCCCCGTCCAGTGCCGACGACCAGTTCACGGGCTCCATGGAGACCAACGTGGTGATCCGCCACGACGGGCAGGTGATGTGGGACTCGCCGGCCATCACCAAGAGCTCGTGCAAGGTGGACGTGTCCTACTTCCCCTTCGACGGGCAGCAGTGCCGCCTCACTTTCGGCTCCTGGACCTACAACGGGAACCAGATCGACCTCCGCAACGGGATGGACACGGGCGACCTCACCGACTTCGTGGAAAATGTGGAGTGGCAGGTGCTGGGCATGCCGGCCCGGCGGCACGTGGTCACCTACGGCTGCTGCTCGGAGCCCTACCCCGACGTCACCTACACGCTCGTCCTCCAGCGCCGCGCCTCCTTCTACATCTTCAACCTGCTGCTGCCTTGTATCATGATCTCCTTCCTGGCCCCGCTGGGCTTCTACCTCCCGGCCGACTCCGGGGAGAAGGTGTCCCTGGGCGTGACCGTCCTGCTGGCCCTCACCGTCTTCCAGCTGCTGGTGGCGGAGAGCATGCCGCCCTCCGAGAACGTGCCCCTCATCGGTGAGTCGCCTGTGCTAAGTCATCCTGCCTCGGCTGTTTTGCTTCCTCCGGGTTTTTCCCCCGCGCACGCAGCAGGATTTTGGGTACCCTCCAAAACCCCTTGCCTTCAGAGGCTCTTAAGTGGAGCTTGGTACCGTGCTCATGGCCACCCTACCTCAGCAGGCTAATTGCAACCCTATTCCACCCGGCTCACGTTCGTGAATCCTTCCCTTTGCTTCTCTTGGGACTCGGTCTTGAGGCTTGGATGTGCCCTAACCATCGGGGCATGTCTAGGTTTTGACGAGACACGTTCACCCATGGCCTAGCAGATGGGGTAGGCAGGATGTAGCTCTCAGCCAAGACCGTTCGTCTTCCCAAGGGACAGGCCTCTGCCACGCCATGTAGCCCCTTATAAAGCCTTTAATCTACCAAGGATTTTGCTCTCCTACTGGGAGGTTGCTCCAGCCCCCTCTCCCCACCCTGCTCCAATAGTTCGATACCAGCTCCTTCTCTCCAGCATGCATTTATTCATGGGCAGTGCCTATCCA